CAGAATAAAATTATTTTTCATTTCAAAAAAGTAGCAGAAAGTTTGACTAGATGATATGAAATATCTTATCATTTAGTTCAAAGAAAATTTTGTTTGGCAATTTTTCTGCATGACTTTGGTGTGTATGATTTCTCAAAAAAAATTTTTTTTTGGTGATTTAACCCTACTACAATCTGCCCTCCTAAAAATGACAATATTAAACACTTATTATAATTTGTGAAAAGTCCATAAAAATCATACGGCGCTCCCATACGGGCACCTCTACAGGCCGGCGCCCGGGGACAGTTGCCTTGATCACACCATTCTAATAGACTAGGAGCTACCGCTGGTTTCTTTTAATGGAAAGACTTACAGCTAGAAACCATTTTAAATTATAGGTAATCCTCGCTTGAATACACAACTCCGGTCAGTCGCTTGCTTAATATAAGAAAATTTAAACCAAAGTGACGAAATTTGACGTTTCATTTTACGAGAAAACTGATGGATAAAAAATTGATGAAATGTGTCATATGTGCCCTTAAAATAGAAAAAATCTTGACTGCCGGTCTACGTAGTTGCGTTTCGAAAACTGAGGGGTGCTAAAGTCTCTAATTTGTGCTGTGCATTTAACTAAAAGACTTAGGCTTGGAACTGAGCTCAAGATAAGCAGCGAACCAATCTGAAATAGAATTAGAGATGGCTGACAATGTAAGTTGTTGCAATTTTAAAACTGACTCGAATTTTTAATTTGGGTTGAAATCATTCAACGAAAAACCTTAAGCCAGAAAGAAGTCATGTTTGACAGATAAGACAAAAATGAAGTGAAATCATACCAACTGACCGCTTAAATCGGCTATGATTTAAAAACTGAAGGCTCCTAAATTTACTCAATTCGTGGAGTGTATTTAACTGAAGGTCTTACGCTTGGAAATCGGCTCAAAATACGCAACAACCCAATCTAAAGTAGAATTCGAGATCACTGATAACGATAGTTTTTTTGCATTATTGAAACTGACTTGATTTTTGTGAACATGAGTTAAAATAGTTCAATGAAGAACCAACTTTACGGCTGAAAGTAGTCCCTTCAATATTTAATTCAGAAATGAAACGAATGCATGCCAACTGACCACTCAAGTCGGTTGCAATTTAAAAACTGACGTCCCCAAATCTCTTATATTTGTTCAATGAATCTAACTAAAAGACTTACGTTTGGAACTGGGCTCAAAATACGCAGCGAACCAATCCAAAATAGAATGTTAGATGACTGACGACATTTACTGTTGTAATTTTAAAACTGATTTGAGTTGAAGCTATTGAACGAAAAACTTTATGGCCGAAAATTATCTCATTCGATAGATGAGATGAAAATGAATCGAAAGCATACCAACTGACCGCATAAATCGGTTGCAAATTAAAAACTAACGCTCTCAAATTCACTCATACAATTCGTGGGTTATACTTACCGGAAGGAATTGCCACTTGAACTGGAACTCAACATGTGTCGCGCGTATTGACCTAAAACTGAATTCGAGATGAATGATTATGCAAGGTGTTCACCAAATTAACTATTTTTTTTTACAAATGATGATACTGTCCAACGAAAACTTATACCATGTATGTCGATGCACTCCGTAGGTTATAATAAAATGTAGGGAAACCAAATAAAATTACGGCGCGATACAGTTAAATTATTTTTGACTTTTTTTTTTAAGTGATAAAAATCGTGTGTTAAAGTGAATTATTAAAGATTGTTTCGTACTAAATTCGCAATTTTAAGCATTTAAAAATAAATATGATATCTGTTGTTGTAAGCTGATTGTGAAAAAAGAAAAACATAATAGATTATTATTAATTTCTTATTTTACGACGACAATGCACTAGCGGATCCAGGATTTAATTTAGTGGGGGAGGGAGTGGCTGCAGCCCGAAAACTTTTTCTGGCATATATTGCGTTTGGCATATATTTGGAATGAGATTTCATCACGGCGGATATATATATATAAATATATATACACATTCCAAATCCATTGGTCCAGATGGTATTCCCGTCAAATTAATCAAATTAATCCAACCTAAAATCCTTCCCGCTCTCCTTTTCATCCACAATTTCTCCCTTCAGAACGCAATATATCCTTCCTCATGGAAAAAAGCTATTGTCCGTCCTTTACTCAAAAATCCTAACCCTTCTTCCCCTGAAGACTACCATCCAATCTCAATCCTTTCTAACCTTGCAAAACCTCTAGAACGAATAGTCCAATCCCAAGTTTCCAACTTCCTAGAACAGTCCAACCAACTTGACCTTTACCAGTCTGGTTTCCGACCAGGCTACTCCACACAATCCGCCCTAATCAAAATCATTAGTGATGTTCAGTCGGCCATAGATAACAAAAAACTAACTGTCCTTGTACTCCTAGACTTTTCCAAAGCCTTTGATACCATTAACCATTCCATCCTTTCCTCCAAATTGAAATCGCTATCCTTTTCCAACAGCTCTATGCTTTGTTTTCAATCAATCCTCTTTCAAACAGTCTCTATTCGCAACCAACCTTTATCATCCTATCTAACTCTGTCCTCAGGAGTGGCACAGGGCTCTAGCATATCTCCTCTCCTTTTTAGTTCATATATTAACGGCCTTCATAAATCAATCCTTCACTGTTCCCATCACCTTTATGCCTATGATTCCCAAATTTACCTCTCATTTGCTCCCTCTGAGTGGCATGATGCATTTTCCAAAATACAAGAAGACCTAAATCGGATTTTTGCCTAGGCAAGTGAAAATGGATTAAGATTAAACGCTGCTAAAACCCAAGTCATTGTCATTGGTTCCAAACCCCTTCTCAGATCCAATACCAACATTCCTCTCCTGCACCTAAATGACCAACCCATCACCTTCAACTCTTCAGTTAAAAATTTAGGTGTTTTCATAGATCAAACCCTCTCCTGGAATCACCATATTTCCCACATATCCCGACGTGCAATTTCCATCCTGAATCTCTTGCATCTCTTCCGCCATTTCCTACCCATGTCCACACGTAGACTCTTAGTATCCGCCCTCATCTTCCCCTACATTAACTACGGCTGCGTAGTGTACGGTGGCCTCTTATCGGAACTTGGAGACAGACTGAAAAGAATCACGAATGGCTTAGTACGATTTGTCAATGGAATCCCGAGACGTTCTCATGTTTCCCACTACTACGCCAAGTTAGGATGGCTCTTTCCCTCCTTCAGAAGACAGTATTTCCTAGGTACATTCCTTTACCAAATAATCTATAATCATCGTCCGTCCTGCGCATTCAATTTCCTTCAATTCAAGTCATCTATCCACTCCCTGGCCTTTATACCCTTATCCACAAATCAGCCTCATTTCAACACTCCTTTATTGTCCGCTCCACCACCTTTTGGAATTCCAACCCACTTAAAATCCGCCATGCACCATCCTTATCCACCTTTAAAACTCTCTTATTCCAATTCCTCCTTACAATTCAATCAGACGCTGGGTAGCCATTTATCATGTATATTATATATGTATATTATCTCGTCTATATGTATATTTTCTTTTATTTTCACCGATCAATCTACATCGTAAGATTTAGATTATATAGGTCTTGTATAATGTTTACAATACTATTACTGTATTCTTTGAACATATTAAAGTACATATATAAATCATTTAAAGTAAATATTTATCTACTCTTTTATTATTATTTTTTTCATTAATACAATGGTATGACAACAAAAGTAATTTGTCGTTCATTTCAAATTTCACTTAAAATTCCATAGTTTATTGTTTTTAGTACTATCTTGCAGTATTAGGACCTTATTGCTCATATTATGTCTTTAATATATCAGTATAGTTATGTAAATCCTTCTGTTATTACTTATTTTTTAGTTTTTTTTTGTTTGTTTTTTTATTGTAATATGCATTTTGGCCAGATATAATGTTAATTTTTATGTACAATATTGTTATTCTCAATTAACTTTGTCCCAGAATAAAGTTGATTCTTCTATATAAAGATAATTACTATGAAAAAAAAGAAAGATACTAATTATCCATATGAAATGATGTTGAAGTGATTCTTGAAGTCCTATTAAATGTAATTACTCCAGCAATAATACTTTAAGAGATAATTTTTTTTCATAAAACATGGTTACATTTTACCATTTCGGGGGAGGAGGGAGGGCTTCAGCCCGAAAGCCTCTCCCGTAGATCCGCCTGTGTTACAATGGTATCTATAAAAATATTTTTGATCAATTGACTGAAGATGCTGCTCTATTGAATTATATGAATTCCAGAAAGCTTTTACCGAGAAATTGTCATACCCCTTCTTCTTTTTCTTAAGATGCTTTACGATGAAATTAGTCCAGTTAAATTACAGATTGACCGCAACATTAAAAAAATAAAGATGAAACTTGTCAGAAATTATTTATTACCCTCTCTTTAATAATTGGTATAAATTCCCAAAGAATCCCGCGTCAGATTTCAATGCAGGAGAGAGGAAGGACAGAAAAATGTTATTTTTTAAAGAATATCTAAAAAAATATGAGGTTTTCCGCAAAAATTGTTCAGTATTATATCAAAGTACATTAAAATTTCTATAAAAATGATCCTATACATTGTTTCGATAAAATCAATGTGTTTGAGATTTTTTTTATTGGATTAGAATTTAAAAGATCTCAGTTTTCCCTTAAACAGAAAACAAGGAGGAATCTTTAAAATCCGAGGCCTAGTTACAACAATAAGACTAATTTAACTGATAGAATGTATCGATTGAAAATTGTTGAATCAGCATAATATCGAATTATCCCTACGAGGAATAAGACGATTGTCAAATCAAGGACAGAGTTGTTAGCTATGTTGTGAAAAATAATTAGCAAATGTGCCAGATTTTAATCAGTTGAAAGTTTATAGTAGATAAGGACATCACTATTCATTTCTAAAAGAAACAGAGTACTTCTGGCGAAAGAAATGAGACATTTTATCGATGAAAGTAAATATATCGATTTAACTGTGTCCCATTCTAGGGGAGGGTTATAGCACCTGACTGGAACTTAGATAACAGATGAGTCAGTTGTTGGTTTGGAGTAGTTGTATTTGTCATTTTTTCTTAAATTAGTTGTATTGTAGAAATTTTGATAATGACGTCGGCTATGGAAAGTATCCTTATTAAATGAGTGGTTTAATATTGTTTCTTTCAATTTGTTATTTCAAACTAACTTCCTTGTTTCAAAGTCAAATGTTAATTTACACTAATTGAAATCCATTTGGTTTAATATATTGATTATTCCATTTTTAAATACACTTATGGTTTTGAATGACACCGAAATGTTGTCCAAGTAATTTATATTCCTGAGATTTAAGGTTTCACTATGATTTTTCAATTTGTAATGATGACAGTTTTATGAAATTCATATTTAGATAGAATATGAATATTCATATTTTGGTAAGATATGAATATTCATATTTTGATAATTCCTGTTTTTTTTTTGTTACCATTTATGAAATTTTTATGATTACCTAATTTTTTTTGTGTTAAGCCATGTTTTTCTTTTATATGTATGTTTTCCTTATTTGCAAAAATCAGATCATTTGTTCAACTTGAAATTTGCTGTAAAGGAATTGGAAAGAAATTCAAAAAGATGCGAGAAAGAAGAAAAAGCTGAAAAGTTAAAAGCCAAAAAAGCTATTCAGAAAGGGAATGTAGAAGTGGCCAGAATCCATGCTGAAAATGCAATTAGACAAAAAAGTCAGTCTGTTAATTACTTAAGGATGAGTGCCAGAGTTGATGCAGTTGCCAGTCGAGTACAAACAGCTCTTACTACTAGAAAGGTATTAATGCTTCTCATATAGATAATAGAATCATTGTTAAATGGCAGTCTTCTTGATTTATTTATATTTTTATATAGTTACCCAGTTTGTGTCTGTCTATGGAAAACAATTGTAATAGCCCTTAATAGGCAACTAAGGATGATCCTGGCTGAATTACCTCTTTCTAAAACGTTTGCTCTGGAATTAGTGTTCTAATAAGTACACACTAATTAAATAACATGAGCATCCAACCTACTCCTGTCATAAATATTGTTACAAGAAAATATATATAGATTTCAACAGAAAAATTAATTTTTTCAAAAAGTTAGAAAATAAAATGTTCCCCTTTTGCCTTGACACAGACATTTAATCTCCGTGGTCAGTCATCAATAGCAGCATGCAGCACTTCTTGAGGAAAGCGCTCAACTGCTTGGACCAGAGATTGTTTGATGCTTTCCAATTGTTTTTCCATCCAATGACTTCCAGCTAACAGAGTATCATTTAGAGGCTTGAAAACAGGTTCCAAAATATCGTCTTGATAGATTTAAGCAGCTGTTTTAACTCTTTCTTCACAAAAATGGAGCTTTGTGGTGCCATCTAAGCAAACTCCCCACCAAACCATCACTGAGGAAGGGTGATGACTTCTTTCCACTCTTTCAATGACTTTCTGGACTTCTTTAGAGCTGTGTTCGTACACAAGATCATTTTGGCGATTAAATTTTTCTTCAATTGTAAAGATTTTCTCATTGCTAAAGGAAATCTTTCGATGGAGACCATTGGTGTAACGGCCAAGGAACACTTTGTATCTATCCACTCTAATTTTTTTTAGGAAAGTGGTTAGCCTCTCTCCTGTCATTCTTCAAAATGCACCCCTCCTAAGGTAACTTTTAATTATGCGAGACATTGATCTGACAGAGATTCCTATTTCCCGAGATATGATTTATTGTTTTCGAATGGGAATTCTCCTGAATCGAGCAGCCACTGCTCTTTGCCGTTCTCACAGTGTGGGGAAGGGCACAGTCAAGGTCTGTCGCATACAGATAGGGTTTCATTATATTTATTTATTAGGTACACGAACATACGGCTGATGCTCAAAGATTTCGAAGTGTTGAAAATCTCTGACCTACATTTTCCTACTTTGTGTAAGGCGATCACAGCTATTCGGTTTTCTTTATCACCCCACTCCATGTTAACTAAGCGAAAGAAAAATACAAACTAATTGGGATTATTATCTTGACATGTAAAGAAAATAACCTAATAAAGGTAAAGATTATCTAAATAATACCCAAGGATGTAAACAAAGTTCAACGTTTGTAAAAGTATTTATGGCAGAACTAGATATATTCAATTTATCCGAAAAACTATTAGATTTTCAAATAGTTATTTCTTTAAGAAACATCAATCCTCTTAAGCTCTTCAAAAAAATGTCTTTGTTTTATGCTTATTGAAATAGTGTCCTATGGTGATAAAACACACAATGTCCAGTCCAGGACCTACAATTATGCATATAATATTTATTTTCAAACAGGCAAATAAATTAAAGCAGTGATCAAAACCTCGTAATCCTTAGGTAATCTGCTCTAATGCTTCCTATTTAAATGACCTTTATTGCTCTAGCATTTTCACTCTTAGATTGAGCCATAAGGTTTGATACCAATTACATAGTTAAGACTTAAATGAATCGTGAAAAATAAATGATTTTTCTCTATTAAATTGTTCTCTGTTATTAACGAATCAGGCCCTTGTTTTTATTATTTATTAACGTTTCTTATAATGGTAAGGCAACTAGACTGGCACATTCTTGGCTTAATGAAGAGGCTTGGGAATTTTGAGAGTATCTAACTGTTAACTCTTACCTTACTTTTTCTTGCATACTAGAGGTACAGCGAAACCTATTCTAACCACAGTGAGAAGGTTGAGATTCATTATGTGGGTCAGCCACAAAATAAATTCCAACCCCTCTGGGCCAGATTTGACTCGAGAATGTTAAAGCACACTGCTTGGATCTTAAGAAATAAAAACTGCTTTATCTTATTCTCTATAACTTTAATTTAAAATTTTATGTTTTTTACTGTTATAATTTTGTTGGCATATCCCTGTTGTATAAGTCTACAGCATATCATTGTTAGGCTAGTAGTTGATCAAAACTCAGTATCGAGGACTGCTCGAATGGTTAAAGAAAATGGCTGCCGAAGTATGCCACTGTTATACTATTAACAAATTTTTATTTTTAAGGTTACTAATTCCATGGCAGGTGTTGTTAAAGCTATGGATGCTGCAATGAAATCCATGAATTTAGAAAAAATATCATCATTAATGGATAAATTTGAAAATCAGTTTGAAGATTTAGATGTTCAGAGCTCATATATGGAAAATACTATGTCTCAAACTGTTACAACTTCTATTCCTCAAAATGATGTTGATAATCTATTGCAACAAGTAGCTGAGGAGGCAGGGTATGTATTTACCAATTATTTATAATTAACCTATCATAGTTCACCCAGTTTACAAGGTATTGTGGCTATGAAATAATGGTATGATTTTTTATGGGTTGAAATAACCAACATAATTCAAATATTTCTGTGATTTTATTTTCATCCCCTTTCTTGAAAAAAAAAGTTTTGACGAAAAGAAAATTTTATTTGGACATAAATCAAAAAGTATGTTTTGCATAATATACCTGGTATATCAAAAGATAACTAACTTTTATAACTCGAGAGGGTGTCCCAATAAAATTCTTGGCCTTTTAAGAATGAATATGGTGTAAAATAATGCTGGAAATAAGATGGGAAATATGCTTAAGATATAAGTTTGATTAAAATAATACTATTTGAAAGAACATTTGATAAACTTTTTTTGATGTCACTTTCACTTACGTTATTAACTTCTTTCATTGCCTCCCATTCAATTTTCTATTTATTGTTTTAGATTGGATTTGAGTATGCAGCTTCCACAAGCTGGAAGCGTTGGAGCTTCAACCCAAGCTTCCCAGGAACAAGACGAATTGACACAGAGATTAGCTCGACTGAGGCAAGCAGAGTAGTGCTGAGTCTTAAGACAAATCCAAGCTTATTACTAAGCAAACTTACGTGCTTTTAATTATATATTACATTTTGTAAATAAAACAGAACGTATATCTATTAGAAGTACTTGTAAATATGATAAAGCTAAACTAAAAAGTATTTCTAAATCATTGCAAAACCAATTTTTCTTTTCTAGTGAAATGTATTATATCATATAGAATCAATGGTTAAAACATGTATTTTTTTTTTTTTTTTTAATGGCTGTTAATAAACAAATTATTTTAATAACTTTTCCTGACTTCCCATTTATTTATTAAATCATAATATGTTTGAATAAGTTAATTTGTTTTGATATTTTCCTTTTACAGCAATTTTTAGTAGAATTATGTCCACTAATAAGAATTAAATTATCAAGAGTAAAAAAACAACTAATGCATTGAATACTATTTCTATGTCAAGATCAACGAAGGAAGCTCCAAGAAGTATGTGATAGCAGATCTGGACACAAATTATTTTAATTATTGAAGTGAAAACTCCTTTAGGCTCGTTCTGCACTTTTTTGTGGAGAGTGTAATTCACATTGCGTAATGATGCGTCAGATTTTAACACGTTAATTCAGCTATAGTCGACTAATTGAAAATATCCCAGAAACTAAAAATCGGGCCTGCATTCTGTATGCAAAGAAATTGTTCAGCATTTCATTCTCTCTGTAATAAGCTATAATTCAAAATTGCATCTTAATGTGATGCTGTGTTAAGAAGACGAAAAGGAATAAATAGTCTCGAAAACCAAATGATAACGAAGTTAGTTGGAATATATGGATTAAAATATTTCATTTACTAAAACTCGGACCTGTGTACTGTATGAGAGAGAAATGTTCAGCATTTTGTCTTCTTTGTAATGAGCCATTCTAAATTTTTTCTTTACCCATTACCATAGGAGAGGGAAAAAGATAGTGTCCAAAATCAAATGATAGTAAGTTTATGTTAGTATATAGTACAAATGCTAATATTACAACTTTGAAATTTTATTTTTACAACATTTTTAACAATATATAAAAAATAAGAAGAGAATTAATATAAATGATAACAATAGCAAAAATTCTTAGGCATAATGGAAAATATATAACAATATAACATTAGGTAACCTTTCAAACCTATCATCAACCAAAATGGCTGAGAGTGTCACTTGGGAAGTAGTACCCAATACATGGATTACATTACCTAGAATACATGGATTAGAAAAGCTACATAAAAGAGGCGCTCCACTTAGTCCTATCATCAGCAATGTCAATGGAGAAACTGAAAAATTTGGCAAAATATCTCTAACCTAAAATCAGATAGTAACAATGATGTAAAAAACTCAATGGAGGTGGATTAAATGCTTGAAAGAATAAATAAAATAGACAATAGGTAAATATTGTTTGGTCTGTTTTGATGTAGAACATTTATTTACCAATATCAACTGGAAAGATGTAATAAAAATAATTGAAAAATACTGGGATACCATAGAACCACATACCCAAATTAAAAGGTTTTATGGAAGATATGGATTAAAATATCTTAGAATCTAAAAATCTCGAAACTACATACTATAAGCTAGGAAAATGTTCAGCATTTGACACACTTTATGAGCTGATATTTATAATTTATATTTCATATTATTAATCTCATCTGGCTGTTTTCACTTCTATTGTGTGATCTAAAGCACACGCATTATAGTTTTTATTTTAAAATACAGAAAAGATATTTTAAATACAAGATACTTTTCATATTTTAAATTTAAAATACAAATACAACATACTCGTATCTAAAGTACCTAGTAACACTTTACAATAGCTTCCTATAATATGAATATTTTTATAATTAAAATTTTTATTTTTTGTTAGGAAATTAGTTATGAAAAGAGAGCACAGTAGATATAATTTTAAAACAATTAATTGAGAAAATATATTTTATTCAATTATAAAATTGGTTTAAAAAAAATAGAATTCACCAACAAACAAACATAAATATGCTTAGTAGATATTAATTCCAAATTAAACTTCATTTTAAAATCAATTAATAAAAATACATTTGAATACTTAATGTTTGACCGTTGTGTATTTTAGAGGAAGGAAATGATCCGGGGTAGCGATCATAAAGAGACTAAAATAGTGCAAAACTATTTTATTTCAAGCCAACGTTTCGATCCGGCTTCGCAGGTCTTCTTCAGGGCTAGAATGGACAAGATACAAAAGGATATAGAAAATTGTGAAAGTTAACTAATATTTAGAAAAAAATTATAAACAAGGTGAATAAACTTATTGAAATTATAAACATTAAGTTCATTGAAATATTAAGAACAATAAACTATATAAACAGAGTAAACTAAGTAACAAGATCCTAAACTAATGTAAATAAATGGTAACAGTTGTTGTAATGTAATATATAGTATAATAAATGCAATTATGAATATACTCCTACAGATCTCAAGGAGAACTTGAAAGAAAAGTAAAAATAATATGAAATAATGGACATAAAGGGATGTGAAGAAAAAAATAAATAAAAGAATAAAAATAGAGACTTACTGGTGCGTTCAGCAAGGAGTTTCAGTTAAGACTGGAGAAACTTGAGTAGAGCACCTTTGCAGAAATTTGCTGACCTGCTTGGGTGTTGGTGAGGGGGTAAGTAGTAAAAACAAAACAAAACTTGGAATATTACAGTACCTAAAATTTGAAGATATTGATGGATACAAGAAAAATACGATACCTATGAACTAAAAATTATTAATACATACATTTAAAAAAAGAATAGAATTAAGAAATTAAAGAAGTACAATGTGAATAAAAACATAAACGAAAGAACTTTCATGAATTTGTTTCATAGAAATAAAATGTAAATATAAAAATAAGAGACCATACATTGCAAAACTAATATAGAAGTATAGAGAAGAAACAAAATGAATAGTTAGTAGTATATATTGTAAGAAAATTACATTAAAATATTAGATAAAATTGAGACATAATGGTTAAAAGCACAATGAATACAAAATACAAACAGGTGATCGAACATTGATGTAGAATGTAATTATAAAATTAAAAATAAAAGAGAGATCATACAAAACGGAAATACTTAAAAATAATGAACTACTTACTTAAATTAAATTAATCAATAAAATTGAAAATAGATAAAAAATAAATAAACAAGAATAATAGAAGATATGATAGAGAAGTTATTTTTCACTTATAAGAATTAAGACGTACCTATATGTTAAAGAAATGTAGTTTTTATCTACTTTATAATTAATAGGATTCTGCTCCATGTGTATGAGGTTGGATTTGGAAATGAGTTTTTTTCATGGTTAGGGACCTTGGCATGAATAGAGGTTTTTTCCAAATCAAATGAATGGTTGAGGGAGTACACTCTCTACATACTATATATCACACTATAACAATTGTTACCAGGGGTGCCCAAAAGGGAGTTTCATGGAGCTCAAAATTTTAGAGGGGGCAAATTTTGACAGGGTTATTAATTCTGCAACTAATGGACAAGAGGAAAACATGAAACATACCGCAGTAACTGTAATTGTACATGATCTACGATTTTTCTAATTCTACCTTAACATGCTCTGTTTTTAAGAAAAGTGAGCAATAAAATTTCTTGGGAGAAGGGGGGAGGTAGGTTCTTGCGACATCGACCTTGGAGGGATGGGCACCCATGGTTGTTACCATTTATTTACATTAGTTTAGGATCTTGTTACTTAGTTTACTCTATTTATATAATTTATTGTTCTTAATATTTCAATGAACTTACTGTTTATAATTTCAATAAGTTTATTCACCTTGTTTATAATTTTTTATCTAAATATTATGTAACTTCCACAATTTTCTATATTCTTTTGTATCTTGTCCGTTCTAGCCCTGAAGAAGACCTGCAAAGTCGGGTTGAAACGTTGGCATGAATAAAATAGTTTTCCATTATTTTAGTCTCTTTATTACCGCCACCTCAGATCATCTCCTTCCTCAAAAATACATTTGTTTTCCCCAACAATATATCTATCGATAATATACTCTTTTATACTTCCATTAAAAAAATTCTAGGAACTTTCATAATTTCTAAATTTTTACTAGTTTTATTGGCAAAGATAATTGTAAAATTTATTACCATACTGCTTGTACTATTACCATATTATTATTATTATTACCATACCATAATACTAAAAATTTAGCACCATTAACCTTGAAAAAATTTTAGTTCAGTATTTATGGGCTAGTTCTAAGATGAATGATGAGCCTTACTACATAACTTAAAGATACCTTCTCAATTTGATAATGTATTTTATGTATTTAAAATACATTTTTTGTATTTTTGAAATAAAATACATTTTTTGTATTTTAGAAATAAAATACATTTTTTGTATTTTAGAAATAAAATACAATTTTTATATTTTAGAAATAAAATACAAATATATTTCAATGTATTTTGAATTTTCATACGAAAATACAATTACAAACCATGTATTTTATATTTTATTTCTTAAAATACAAAAAATGTATTTTATTTTGTATTTTAAAATACTTTCTTTGAAATACTCCATAAGTCAATTTGATAGTATAGGGTAGGGCAGGGCCAAGAAGAGAAACCACAGGCCCCAGAGTTAATTTTCATGGGCTCTTTCAAATTTTAAATTTACCATTAAAATTCGACTGAAGCCTTTTATAAAGCATGAAACAAAATATTATATATGTAATAGTATCTATACTTCATCATATATAAGATGAATTTAAATTTCATATGAATTTTAAAATTAAAAGATAAACCCTTATAGACCAGGCTGGGCCCTGGCTTATCTCCACTTTCACCGGGCCTAGTATGAAGAACTGTCTGTTTACATAGCGAAAAGATAAGCTGGACCATTAAAGATTCTGAAATTATTGTCCACACTGTTTATATAATATATAATATATTAGAAACTAATTGTGGATTATAAATAAGGGTTGTGCACCATATTAACTTGGTCTAAAATATTAGCCATATTAACTTGCTTCTAGATTTTTAGAAGCAACCAATTAAGTAGTTCTTGACCATTTGAGCAAATGTAATTACGTAATAAAACCAAAAATCTCAAAAAGACATTAAGAATGGAACAATCTAAATTATAAAACAATGAGACTCCATTATACAATTGAACGGTTAACTTAACAATGTCTCGCTAATTTAGGCTTCATCAGGACAGATAAAACAATATCACATATAAGCAGAAAGAAAGAAAATGAAAAAAATATTTTATTTTTCATTTTCTTTCTGTATA